AGCCGCCGCCCCGCCGGTGCCGTTGGCCGGGGCAGCCGCCGCCGGAGTCGCAGCGGGCGGCGTCGCCGTCGGGTTCACGTCGTTGCCGTCAATCTCGTCATCATCGTTGTCATCATCGTCGTCGTCACCGTCGCCGTCCGAGTCGACCTCGAGGACCGGGATGTGCTCGAGCAACGCGGGGCGGAGGTCGGTCATCTGGTAGATGGCGAGGTACTCGCAAGCGCGCTGCTGGAGTTCGACCTGCATCGAGTTCTGGTACGAGGAGAGGAGGGCGAGGATGCGAGCGTGTGCGCCGTCGTCGGTGAGACGGACAGAGAGCTTGATGAGGGCGGTAAGGACATAGGTGCGGGTGAGCGTGGTCGTGGTCGTCTGCCCATCGATGAGCTCGAGGACGGTGACAATTTCCTCGTCCGAGACCGAGACGTGCGAGACAGCGGCGCCGCCGCCCGGCGCGACAAGCTGCTCGGCAAACTCGCCGATGCACCACGCGCCGACGCGCTTGAGCTCCTCAGAGCTCATCGCATCCATAAGCATGTCGTACAGCCGCTTGACAATGTACTGCTGCTCCGACTCGAGGCGGGCAAAGAGAGAAATGATGCGGTCTCCGACGACAGGTGTGACGTATGAGCCGGCCGAGCGGAGGATACGGAGCGCGAGGTTGGCGTGCCAGCGGTCGCCCTGCGAGAACTCGCCGGCGAGGCGGATGAGGTTGGCGACTAGCGAGGGCCGGAACTCGTCGTCGATGACGTCAACAAAGAGGCAGAGCTCGGCAATGAGGTCGTTGGCGTTCCGGTCGGTGACAAGCTTGTAGCAGAGCTCGAGAGCGCGCTTGCGGATCGAGACGTCCGGGTCCTTGAGGCACTGGGTGATGGTGGCGCGGTGGCGCTGAACAGCCTGCAGGTCGCCGTGCAGAGCCTTGGAGAGCGTGTTGAGCGCCACATAGCGGATGTTGTTGTCCTTGTTGAGGAGGAAACGCCCGAGGATGTTGACGGCCAGCAGGCGGAGGCCCGAGTCGGCCTCGATCGACATGATGGTCTGCACAACCTCGTAGAGGATGGCGTTGCCAACGTTGTGCTTGGTCTCGGTGTTGGTGGCGACGTAGGCGAGCACATCGTTCATCTTCTCCGACGACTCGACGTCGCCGCGGCCCAGGACCCGCAGCAGGCGCAGGAGCTTGACTTGGATGAACGGGTCGGTCACGCCGCCGACGTCGTGCTCGGGCGCGTAGCCTGAGACGATCAGCGACTTGAGCGCGCCAACAAGGGCCGGCACAAAGCGGCGGAACGGGCCGACAACCGCCGGGTCGACCTCACACATGGTGATCATGAGCGTGATGCCCGTGAGAAGAACGCCGTGGTGGCGCTTGACTAGCTGCGACTTGGCCAGGCCCACAAAGTTCTCCAGCAGGTCCGGGCACTTGCGGATGATGCGCTGGGCGCAGAGCGCAGCCTTCTTGCGCACGTAGTGGTTAGACGATGAGAGCAGCTTCTCCACCTCGCCCGCGAGGTCGCGGCCCATGTCGGCCGTGCACATGTTGCCGAGCGAGCAGAGCGCGAGGCCGACCACATACATGTTCGGGTGGTTGAGGTCGTTCTTCAGCGAGTTGGTCACCAGCATCAGCACCTCCGAGTCCTCGTCGAGCAGAAGCATCAGCCCGAGGTAGCCCACCCGCTTCTGCGCAAACGACTCGGACGCCACAAGCTTGAGGCACTCGAGCTGCGCAAACTGCGTCGAGTAGCCCCGCATCTAAAGTCCAACACAAACAGAGAGAGACACACACACACGCACAAGTTACATAGAAAGAGAGGTGAGTAGAGTTCCAGTGCGTGCCGCAGTATGATGTGCTCCAGCTCCAGCTGTGCTCCAGCTCCAGCTCCAGCCCCGGCCCCAGCCCCAGCCCCAGCCCCAGCCCCAGCCTTCGATCACCACCTGGTGCAAACCAATCCATCCGTCAACCAACTCGACGGACTCCCAGACCATCCGAAACCCGTCTCCATTCCCATGCTCTGCATGGCAACCAGTACAACCCTCAACTCTCCGAGCGGGTGGACGAGCAAGCGAGCAAGCAAGCGAGCAAGCGGGCGGACGAGCAAGCAGACAGACAAGCAAGCGGGCGGATGATCAAGCAAACGAGCAAGCGGGCAGACGAGGAGACGATCCGATCCCCATCACCACGATGATACGCAGATAACAATACAAAACAGTGGATGCGAATGATCTTAGCACACGGAACAAAGACGAAAGGGGAGAGGGCGAGATGAACGGTCGGAAGGAGGAGCGGCGAGGTCGTGGTCGTTGGCAACGGGGCGGATCGATGGAGGATGCGGCGGGGGTGGGGAAGGAGGCGAGCGGGCGGCGAAGAGCAAAAAAAGCAAGGCCAATCATCATGTGCCCAGCCGAGCCGACGGTGGGGGGGGGGGAGGCTTCCATGGGCTCGCTAGGGGGTATGTATGAAGAAAAAAGTGGGGAAAGTGGATGAAGATTATGTTGAGAGTGTTCTGGTGGTGTTCTGGTGGGTGGGGGTGCTGTTTGTGGTGTGCTGGGAGCTGTAGGTGGTGGTGGTCGTCGTCGACTCGTGACGTGATCGCACCAGAAGAGCGACACGGCAGTGGCGAGGGGGAAGGGGAGGGGGGGGAGGGGGCGGCGAGGGACGGTGGCAGCAGCGGGACGGGAGGAGGGGAGAGAGGGCTGACAGGGGATGGGTAAGGGGAAGACATACCTGCATGTACAGAAGCTTTGCAACATTACGCAGACGGAAGTCTGTGTTCTCTTGAGCAAACTTGGTCCGAATAGCAGCTAGTTCACGTCGCACAAGCTCGCGCTCTTCAGAACTCGTCCGTGCGCTCCGCACTTCGTCGATGAACTCGCGCAGCCGAAGCGACATTGGGCGAGGGACAGAGACAGATGGTGAACCAGGTCGCTCTTTCGCCCCCCCCCCCCCCACACACACACACACACACGCACGCGACGACCACCCCGTCCCCTGTCATAGGTGCTGTCGCACTGGATATTCCTCCGCAGTGGGTGGAGCACACCCAAGACATCGATGACATCGTCACACAGATCAACCATCGTAGTACGTACCCCCTCTCCCCCCTCTCCCCCTTCCCCCCCCCTCCCCCCCGTGTCCCTCCGTTCCGCTGCTACCCGGCCGCCCGCGCGCTGTCCGTCTTCAGATCGCACATGTGATCGGTTGCCTTCAACGGCAAGCAGTATCGTCACCATCGTCACCATCGTCACCATCAACGGCAAGCAGTATCGTCACCATCGTCACCATCGTCACCATCGTCACCATCGTCACCATCATCATCGCCAATTGTTCCGTCATCATTGTCATCGTCGTTGCTCTCCGCCTCAAACAGTGCTTGGACGAGTTGATCATTCTCTCTGCTGAGATGCGCCATGGGCTGAAGCTGCTTGGTCCATGGCTGCGTGTGGTGGTGGTCGGTCGATGGGGGGATCTGGTGTCGCTTGCATGAACGCGCAAGTCGGGTATGCCAGGAGCGATGGTCGAGCGTGGGCTCACCTTTGTGCCCGTGACATGCGATCGGTCTCTTCGTGGCGGGCAAAGGCGAGGAGCACATAGACTCGTGTACCTCTGCTATAAGCCATTGCGCACCTATCCGAGCTACTGTAGCGCGGCTAGTGGCTGGCGATGCTGGAGTCACATGCACGGGCTCCCGCCGTCACTCTTACTCACGCTCCTTCCCTACACACAGTGGCACATCTGGCACGACTCCACTCCAAGCACTTGTCGCAAGTGGCGATTTCGGCGGGCCCTGAGGGCGATGCAGACGCGCACGAGATTGAGGCTGTGACCTCTGAGATCACGCGTCTGTTCTCGTCGGCAAAGACCAAGGTGAAGCACCTCGGCGACCCGGACCCGCTCTCCAAGGAGACCGGGCAGGAGGTGAAAATCAAGCGCAACCTGACATCGGCGTATGCGCTGCAGCTGCAGGACCTCATGGGCAAGTTCCGCAAGTCGCAGGAGAAGTATCTGGCGCGGATGAAGTCCCGCGAGGAGCGGACCAAGGGTGGACTGGACGATTTTGGCCTCTCGCGGCGGCCAGCGGGCGCCGGCGGTGCCGGGGCGTCGTCAGCAGCCGGCGCAGGTGTCGGCGGCGCTGGCGGCGACGACGACGACATGTTCCCTGACTACTCGGGCTACGTCGACTCGGGCTTTTCTTTTGAGCAGGAGCAGGTTGTGGCAGACTCGGACGCGCTGATCCAAGAGCGGTCTGCGGAGATCCAGAACATCTATCGGTCGATTGTCGACCTGGCCGAGATGTTCAAGGACATGTCGCTGCTGGTCATCGAGCAAGGCACGCTGCTGGACCAGATCGACTACAATGTGGAGCAGGTGGTGCAGCACACCGAGTCGGCAGTCAAGCAGCTCGCCAAGGGTAACGAGTACCACAAAAAGTACCGCTCCAAGCTCATCATCCTCTTGCTCATCGTCATGATCGTTGCCATGGTCATTGTTCTCATTGCTCGCAAGAAGTCGTGAGAGATGGCGCTGTCAGCGGTCACCAATGAACGCGACCCCCCCCCCCCCCCCCCACCCACACACACACACGCACATCCTTGGTGTTCTCTTTCGCCTGTTTTGGGTTTATCTCGAGTAGTTCCGGCTAGAACGAGCAAGCACACTTCTTGGAGCCGTCGGACGAGCTCGCGCCCGAGTCCGGGACGGCGCCGCCTGAATTGGGCGGAGCGCCGACGAGCGAGACGATGCCTGTGGCGGTCTCGCGCGGGATGTTCGACTCGGCGACGCGCAGGATGTGGGTTGTCAGGGTGTCCATGGCCTCTGTGATTCCGATGTTCTCGCGCGCCGACGTAGCGAACCATCCGATGAACCCGTTCGCGGCGCAGTAGTCGTCGAGCTCGGTCGGCGACGGGACCGAGCCCGAGTCGGCCTTGTTCGCCAGCAAAAGCGTGGGCACAGGCTCGCCGTTGGCAAGAACGACCTTGGAGTTGATGTCGCGCTTCCACTTGATGACCGAGTCAAAGGTGGCATCGCGAGTCACGTCGTACACCACCACCGCCGCAATGCAGTGCTTGTAGTACGCATGCGTCATGCAGCCAAACCGCTCGTGCCCGGCAATGTCCCAGATCTGCAGCTTGACCGTCGTCTCATCGCGCTCGAGTGCCTTGACCGAAAAGTCGACTCCAATCGTCTGCATGGTACTCCCCTCGTGAGCCTCGCCCTCTCCCCCCTCCCCTCCTTCCTCCTCTCTCTCTCTCTCTCTGCGCGTACCAGCTTGTAGTTGGGCGAGAACGTGTTCTCGCAGTACCGCCTGATGAGCGAAGTCTTGCCCACCGCATAGTCTCCACAGACGATTACCTGTCCCCCCCTCCCGTGTCCAATGCTGTGAGTGCTCTTCGCCACAAAGCGACCAAGCCCCGCCATGCCTCCTCCGCCTCTAACCCTCCGCTCACGACCTTCGTGATCGCTCAAAGCCGCCTCGGAGACAAGATCGAAGCGCCTGCTGAATGAACATGACCGCGCCTTGCTCCGGCCGCACCTTGCTTGCTTCGGCCACGCCTTGCTCCGACTACACCTGCCATCGCCCAGGCCAGGCCGCGCCTTGCTCCGGCCGGGTCTTGCTCCGACTACACCTGCCATCGCCCAGGCCGCGCCTTGCTCCGGCCGGGTCTTGCTTCGACTACACCTGCCATCGCCCAGGCCGCGCCTTGCTCCGGCCGGGTCTTACTCCGGTCGCACGTGCCATCGCCATGGCTCAGGCATGCATCACTCCGCCCATGCCACCACCACCACCGCATAACGCCTTGGACCCCCATCCCGACACTTCCGACAACATGACCGTGTCCGACCAAGTCCATCCGACCAAGGCCATTCCCTTGCCGACCCTTGTCCCTGTCATCATCGTCACCGCTTGCCCGTCCCCTCAACCCCTTCCTCCACCCCCCCCCCCCCCCCCCCTCCCCACCCCCCCCCCCC